TAAAAAAAATGTTAATTACGTTTGTGTGTGTGTGATTTACGTGTGTTAGACAATTTGAAATGAATTCTTTTTCATTTGAGTTTTAATTATTTGCATTGAATTTTAAAATTTTTTGATTAGACAATTTGGAATGCTTCCTTTTTTTTTTATCATTGACTAATAGGTATAAGTTAAGTCTCGTATTAAATTTGATAAAATTCCGATTTATTACATTTCATATTGTTCTTTTAGATAATATTAATTATGGAGGATTTTGATGTCACCATTTTTATTTCGTGAACATTTAGACTAATATGAAATGTTGTCAAAATTTTGTCAAATTTAAGAAATGGAATTGTACTTGTGCAATTTAATGGAGTATAAAAAAAGACTTCACTCTTATTGGAATAGGATTACACCTTGTATAAAAATGTGAGATTGGCGTGCATGGTATATGCTTTTAGCGGAGAATATAATATAAATATGTATCGAAGATGGATAAAGGCAACACATATGAGTCAAAAGAGTGAGAATGAAGTGGAATCATTTATAAAATTTGTAATATGGAATGTTGTTGATATTACTAAGAAGCTATCTTTGTCCTTGTCTTAAAAGTTTGAATGAGAGACGACTAAAAATTGAAGATATAGGAGAACATTTACTATGTGACGAGATTCTTAAGAATTATATATGTTGAATATGACACAATGAATTGCTTGACATTTGAGGCTTGTCGGTTGAAAATCAAACCCAAACTTGTACATAAGTGGTTGATTTGAATATAGATGATCGGCTTGAAGATATGATTTGTGAGATAGGAAAAAAATATTTTGAGAGGACACGTTTATATGAAACTCTATGTGGTGATTCATATAAGTTTTTGTATCCAAATTTCTCTAATTTCACAATATCGTTAGTGCTATTGAGATTTTAATTTGAAGACGAGGAATGAGTGGAGTGATAAAAGCTTCACATAATTTATAGAGTTGCTAATAAGAAATGCTTCTGAAAGATAAAATATTAATGTTGAATCATAACTATAAGATGAGGAAGGCATTGTGTCCCATGGGTTTTGATTATAAAAAGATACACACATCCCCAAATGGTTGCATGTTGTATCAAGGTGAAATTGAAAGGATGCAGTAGTGTCCAAAGTGTGGGGTGTCACAATACAAAAGGAAAGATAATGATTCTAATTATGACAGTGAAAATTGTATGGTATTTTCCAATCGTTCATAGATTAAAGTGTTTGTTCACTAATGTAAATGACGAAAAACACATGAGATAACAAGCATATGGAAGGAAATATGATGTACAACTTCAACATTCAATAGGTTGTTTGCAATGAAAAAATTGATTCAATGTTTCTTGATTTTGGCAACGAGTCAAGAAACGTTAAGGCTAGACCAACTACCAAAGGAATTTGTATGGTAACTTAAGCATTAAGTATAGTTCATGACATGTTTGGTTTGTTGTTTACAACTTGTCTTCATGGTTGTGGATGAAGCCCAGATACATGATGTTTTGTATAATGATGATTGTTGGCCCAAGACAACCTGAAAATGACATTGATGTGTATTCATGTCCCGTAGTTGAAGACTTAATGATGTTGTGGAAAGAAAGCTTTGATGTGTTTGATGGGTATTTAGGTGAGTATTTCAAGTTGTGTACCATACAATCAATGACTTTCTAACATAGGTCAACTTACGTGAGCATAATTTAAGAGGTACTAAGCGTGCCCTATATGAGAAAAGAACACTCGTTACAATCAACTAAAAAATGGGAGGAAAACAATTTACCTCGAGCATCGATGATATTTGTATCATAAATTTTAATAGATATAAAGAAAATGACATTGTTCTTATTACATTAATTGGTGACTAAGTTTATAAACAAGTAAAGAACTTAAAATGTGGTACTTGAGAAAACTGAAAAACAACCAACAAAGGAAAATATATGGAAGAAAGTGTCAACATTTTTTTATCTGTCATACTGGAAAATCATTATGTGAGACATTATATTGATATTATGCATGTAGAGGAAAATGTATGATAATATAAGTGGAACGTATCTCAATATTAAAGACATGACAAATGATGGTCTCAATGCTCATCTATATTTGTAGGTCATGGGTATGCGTCATCAGTTATATTGGCAATCTCATAAATTAGACATATTTGCCTCTAATATATCATAATTTGTTGTAAAATAAGGAAAAAAATTGTGAGTGTTTACGTGGTGTCAAACTGTCTCACATTTACTCTTCCAATGTAAAATAGTTTTATTTTAATGAAAGATTATAAATCAGTTGACTTAAAGTCTCATGATTGTTATATCTCTATGTAATAGTTTTTCTTGTCATTAATAATCTCTAATATTAGTTGAAAGTCATAAACTTTGCTAAATTTTACATCCAATTCAAGAGAGAAAATCAATAAATAAGATGTGGTACTCATACATTTATAATTTTTAATAAATTTTACTCATGATAAAAAGTGTTAAAAAATAGTGTTAAAGAGATTATCACTTGCATTTGTTTTTAATATCTCCATCAATACCTAAAAATTTTCTCAATTTTTTTTTTATTATATCATATCACTCATCATAATTATATATAATTTTTTTCTTTCTTTATTCTTACACTAGATTTCTAATAACATTTGAGATGTCGAAAATAATTTTTCCAAAAACAATAATTTCACGTCACAAAATTTTAGGATCCACACATATTTTTTCTCTTTCTTTTTCTTAAGGAGAAAAAATTAACTAGAATGAGTAGATAAGGATTGAATATATCTAATCACAACTATTGAATTAAGTTCATGCAAGGAGCTTTCGGCATGGGTGGGCATCGGGCGAATTTGGGTTTCAAACCACACGAATTCCCTCGAATGCAACTTCAATTTGAGTTGGTCAGATGACATGTTTTGGATTTTTGTCGAATTTGGGCCAAAATATATTTTAAGTCATATTAAATATATTTGATCATTTTTGTTTAATAATTTTATAAAATTAAGAAATTTGAATAGATAAAGATTGGGATTAAACAAGGCCCATAAATTAAATGATAATTGTGTTTAAATTAATTATAAATTTATAATTTTTGTTGGTCTAACTGTTAATTTTTTTTTTAATTTTTCTTATTTTTTTTAAACTTAACGATTAAAAATTAAAAGAAACTTCAATAATATTTGTCAATATCCATAATTCTTTGTTAGAAAAATAGAAAATCTTTAATTTAGGTTTGAGCTATAGCTATTTGGGCCTTAATATGTGTATGATATTTGTGCGAGTTCAATTTTTGACAGGTTCAAAAATTTTAAATTGAATCCACCTTAAATTACCTATATAAAGTCTCATTTTCAACTGTTCAAATTAAAAATCTACTTATATATATATATATATATATTTTAAAAAAAATAGTTATATATATATATATATATATATATATATATATATATATATATATTTGATTTTATAGGTTCACATTGAGTAGTGGGTCTTTGTCAACATTTAACTTCCCTCAATGATCAACTAATAGAAAAAAAAAACATTTTGTACTTTTCAATTTTAAAAAATAAAAGAAAAATAAAAAAATAATTTAAGAAAAGTTATGAATGATTATTCAAAAAATATATTTTTTCTTAGAAATATAATCATCCACTAAAAATAGGAAAAAGAAACAATTATAATATACATATCCCTTTATAATATATAGATGAATTATCCGTACACTCTCTTTGAAAACTTTTAAGAAAATATCTTTGTGATTAGTTTCAAACATAAATGACATAATCCTAATCACAAAACAAGAAAAGGGAATCTTCATCGTTAACATTAATCTACTAGTGGAAAAGAAATATTAGAAGACGAATGAAAGCTGATATTGCACGAACATTTTACTTGATATTATTCTAAGTCAAACAAGTTGAGAGAAAGCAAATGTTCCCTATGATCACTATCTTTTCTTTTTCAATATATTTTTATAAGAAAACTGTCATTGTACGTGTAGATAAAAAAAAAATACTTTAAAACTAGCACAATAATAATCTCACTATTGTCATTCGTACATGTTTTGGCCAAATTATGAAAAGGTTCCTTCTAATTACAAAAATGCGATTTTTCACACCTGAATAAAAATTATTACCAGTTCGAACTTTTGAGTATTTTTCATATTCGCATAAGGAACGTGATTCTGATTCATTAACCGTAAAACATCTATCTACACACAAGGTTCGTCTTGATCCAAGCAAACAAAGACTTGTAATTTTTATGGATCAATTTAGAGAACATAAATTGGACGTTAAAGAACTTTCTGATAAGTTAAGCTAAAAGTGACTACTTTGCTTGTGTTGTGGATAACATGAATACTAGTGTGAAATCAAGAAGAGGGCCTCCCTATTTGACGTCAAATTTTTGCTATGTCTTTACATGATGCATCATGTGATTCCTCCCATTTTCCCTCTCCCTCAACTTGCCTTGTCACACTCTGACCCAAACAGTTTTAACATGAAGGAGGAGCATGTGTCATGCACATGCATGTCAATTCATGCTCCATCAATAATAGGGTGACCAAAACATTCCTTGTAGAAAAAGAAAAACACTAAATAATTTCTACCAAAAATTATAAATACATAAAAGTGGACATTTTTCTCTGGACATACGTTCAAAGTTAAAAGTTTAAATTTCAAACTATTTGATTAAGAAACACACTATACTTGCACATTTTAAAGAGAGTTTATTCTTGAACAACTTATATTTTATCTTAGTATGAGGAAAAATTCTTTGGATGAAAATGATTCAATGTATTGTAAAGTAAGAATATATGTTAGAAGAAAAAAAATTATTAAAGGAAAAAGGAAGGATTAAAAACGAAAAGGTGCTACCATAGAGAGAGAAAGAGATAAAGAGTGATAGAAACAAAGGAAGTTACATAGATGGTAATAATTACTCTGGAAACTTCTGCACCTGCAGGTCCATCACCTAATTCCCCTCACTCCTTGGCCTCCCTCCATAAGTACCCCCCCTTCCCTTCTTACTTTCCATTCACCCTCAAACCAACTTCAACATATCCCTCCACACACACACTCTCTCTCTCTCTCTCTCCAAATGGATGCTATTGTTCTTCTCCACATTGCATCATTGGCCTCTCTTCTTGTTGCAACAAGTGCAAGAATCCCTGGAGTTTACTCTGGTGGCCCTTGGCAGAGTGCTCATGCCACCTTCTATGGTGGCAGTGATGCCTCTGGAACAATGGGTAAATCTCTCATCCTTCATCCCTCCCCTGTTTTCCCCTGCTCCCCACTACCCAAATCCACTCCACCTTCCTCAACCACCACTCACCATGTTTCATTTTTCAACTTCACATCCAAATTCCAGCCCCTTAAACCCACTTTGCAGCATTCCAAGTCAAGCCATCAAAACCTCATTTTTCACGACCATTTTCCTTCTCCATAAACCCAAAACAAAAGTTTCCATTTTTGCTCACATTTCTCCACACCCCAGTTGAAACACAAAGCCTTGCTGAACGTGTTGTTGTTTTTGTTACTTCAGGTGGCGCTTGCGGGTACGGGAACTTGTACAGCCAAGGGTACGGAGTGAGCACTGCAGCGCTGAGCACAGCGTTGTTCAACAAGGGGCTAAGCTGCGGCGCGTGCTTCGAGATAAAGTGCGACCAAGATCCGCGTTGGTGCAACCCTGGCAACCCTTCCATCCTCATCACTGCCACCAACTTTTGCCCTCCCAACTTCGCTCTCCCCAACGACAATGGCGGCTGGTGCAACCCTCCTCGCCCCCACTTCGACCTCGCCATGCCAATGTTCCTCAAGATCGCTCAGTACCGCGCCGGAATCGTCCCCGTCTCTTACCGCCGGTCAGACTCGCCGCCCCCTTTCACTTTCTCTCCTTTGCATGTCTTTTCTCTGTTTCCATGCGCACAAAATATCACCAAACTCTAACACAATTTCACCAAACGAAACCCTTTTTTTCTTTTTTATTTTTATATATATATATATATATATATATATATATATATTTATCTTTACTGATATTAATTAATAAAAGTGATAATAATTTGAATCTCTTAATAATAATCCAAGTGTTTAAGATTTGAATCAAGGTCCTAAGGATGAAATACATTAAGTTAAAAGTGAAATATTGATCTTATGTGTGATCAGAAGAGTGAGACACACATTTTTTTGTCTTTAATAATTATATAAATATAAAATTAAAAAGATATAAATAGTCATTTAAATAAAATATATATATATAAAATTATATTTAAAGAAAAGATATAATAATCACTAAAAAGTGAAGATAAAAATAATTATATATTTTAATCTTACATCGATAGTGATGTGTATAAAGTATATACAATAATATATATTTTTTGTTTAAAAAAATGAACATAAATAACATAAATATTTCTCTTATAACTTATTTTATTTTATATTTAAAATCATGAATTCTTAGCATCTCAAATAAGGAATACAAATTAATATTATTTATGACAACTAATGTTAGTGTGTATATATATTTATTTATTTATATTATGTGTAACTATGTGTATATATTATTTTTTTTAAGAAAATAATTTATTTCTAAAATTTATTTTGCCTCTCATTATTCACCTCTGGAAGAAATAAACAAATATAAAAGAATGTATTTTGTTTTTTGTCGGTAAACTTCTATAAACGACTAAATCTAAAACCTCATATCATCACTTTTGTTACCAAAACTACATAAACAGTTTTTGAAGATGCGCTTGAAGACTGTTACAAGTTCCCATTATGGGATTCTCCTGAAATTATGAATGTTCTTGAGTCTGTGAGGCACCGTACTACATACAAAAAACATTAGAACAAATAATGAAAATTCTTGCCCTTTCTGTCTATGTTTCTCTTACTTGTATATCTGATTTTCTTGGGAAACAAACAAAAACTTCGATTAGAACCTCCTCAGCAATTTTATTAGAATCCGCATTGAAATGTTTGTTTTGTCGATCACACGCACATACTAGAAGTGCCTTTAAACATGGAGGATTATGCAATGCATCTTATAAGTTACGGTGCATCCATGTACCTTACATCACTTAATATTAAATCTAGAAAAAATAAATATTGTGGGTTTATTTTGCCCACCTCTAACAATTACACATACAAAGTTTTCATTAATTTGTGAATGGAGATTTTAATTTGTGGGACTAATATGCTATCATATCGATAAGAAGCTTTTTTTTCTTTCTTTCCATTGCTTTTGCACCCTTTAGGTGTTTTGGCTTACATGTATGCTTTTATTGCTTTAGTTTCGGTGGTTCTGTGGTTGCAGCCAAATGTCTAAAATAACCTCAAGTGTTGGCAATATTACAAGCTGTTTTCTAGGGTATTATAGTCATTCTATTATTGGATCCGCAAATTCTTCAACACTTGAAGGGTATGCTAGTAAAATGCTCCCAAAGAAAATAATGCTTTGGGTTCCTTATCGATTTATCTCTAGAAAATGTTGCAAATCAAAATGACTAAAATCCAAGTTAGATCTAGAATTTTTTAATTTTCTTTTCATCTTATTTAACTTAATAAACTCTTCTGCAATTTCTACAGTTATAATAGTTTTACTAACTTTCTTAAATTAAAATAATTAATCCATATTTTATTATTATTTTATACGGTTGCAGGGTGGCATGCAGAAAGACGGGGGGCATCAGATTCACAATCAACGGCTTCCGATACTTCAACCTGGTGCTGATCACCAACGTCGCGGGTGCAGGGGATATCGTGCGCGTGAGCGTGAAAGGGAGCAAAACCGCGTGGATGAGCATGAGCCGCAACTGGGGGCAAAATTGGCAATCCAACGCAGTTTTGGTGGGCCAGGCCCTGTCCTTTAGGGTTACCGGCAGTGACCGTCGCACCTCAACGTCATGGAACGTGGCACCACCTAATTGGCAGTTCGGACAAACCTTCACGGGCAAGAATTTCCGTGTCTGAAACAAAGGGAGAGAAAAAAAAAAACACAAAAAACAAAACAACAATTATAATAACAATAGTACTGAAAATGTTGTTTGTTTGCTTCAGTTTCTCTCTGCTTCTAACTTTCCTCTATTTTGCTGAGAAAGTTTTGGAGTGGGTGGTAGGGCTAAAAAAAAGTTAGTTACTAAGATAAAGATAGTTTTAGGAAAAGTGAAAGTGAAAATAAGTTTATTTATATAATACTATTTGAATTAATATAAATGTAAGGAGTGGGGGTTGGGGGGTGTTTGGATTAAATGTGAAAGTATTTAATGTATGAACTATGCTGGTATATTAATTACCCAGCATTAGCACTTTTTTTTTTTTTTTTTTTGTTTACTGAAAGTGTGAGGTGGCTGAGGAGGTTGCAAGAGGAACATGTAGCCCGCAGCCTGGCTTTATTATTGACATAAATGTGCCATCATATAAATAAATATAAATAAAAGAATATTTTACTTGCTGCAAATGTTGCTTTATATATGCTTGTGTATTTTCTTTTCTCCTTTTTGTACAATGAAAATTGACAAAATAGTTATTTGAATTCATGATTTTTTTTTCAAGTAAATTACTACAGTTGGACTAGTAATGAAAGATTGTAATTTTATGTATAGAATCCTTAAGACTGAATCTTATTGTCATTTTTTATGTAATTCTTATTGATAAAAGAAAAATTATTTCTTTCGAATCCATAGCTCTTGTAACTAATCAATTTTAGTGGCTTAATTGGCTTGAATTATGAATCTAGTAACATTTTTTCTTTCTTTTTTAGACTAACAGATGTAGATTTTTTTATTTTTTATTTTTTATAAAAATTATAGTGAGGACAATACGATTTGAATCTAAAATTATATATATATTATTCTAACTTCTCATCAAAGTATATACAGATTAATCATTTTGATTTAGTTTTGAGAATTTTGTATTCTATTATAAACATTGTCTTAAGAATTTACTGAAGTTTGAACTGTAAGATTTCTTTAGGGTATGGTTTGATTATTAAATAATTTAAATTTTGTGATTGATTGTTATTGAATCAGATAACTTTGTATTACGGGCTTTTAGCCCCTTTATATCATCAAAAAAAAAAAAAGAGATAACTTTGTATTAAAAATATAATAAGTTTTAAGTTTAATTGATTCAACTAAAGCTTTTTCTAATTTTATTAAAAAATAATAATAATTAATTGGTACTATTTTAATATGTTCATTGTGTTAGAAAGGTTTATTTATATATATTTTTAATGTATAAATTATATAAAATTAAAATTCATAATAAATATCTTTGATATATAAATTATATTTTAGACTTATAATAAATGAATTTAATTGTGATATGAGATTATTCTTAATTATTGACAAATTATTTAGAAAAAAACTATTGAAATTAATTTAGAGATGAAACTTAGAATAAAAAAAATTAAAATAAAATAATTAGAGATAAAGCTAAGAAGAGTAAATTAAAGGGATAGGTAATTAGGAAGATCAAGAACACACGTAAAGATAAAAATACAAATAAAAAAGAATAATTTGATATGATTGGAAAATAGTTTTATTTTGTCTAATTATAGAAGCAGTATGGAAAATAGTTGAACACCTCTAATAAAAAGATACTTGAAAATAAAAATTTTACTACATTATAAACTTTAATCAATTAATAGAGAAATCTCAAACAAAAATTGAGGATTGGACGAACGTCATGTTGAACGAAACTAATATAATATTATCTTTGCAATTTCTCTAAACCCTTCTCTATCAATTCTATTATTTGTCTAGCAATATTAATTTGAATTGTATTCTTTAACTCTGATTTTAATAATTCAAATTAATTTGAAAACCTTCTCAACTCACTTCTTTATTACCTTTAAAATTAAAGTTTCTTGAGTGTGAAAAGATTTTAATTTAAAATCAATTCACCTCATTGAGTTATTGAAACCACTTGGTTGAAAAATCCTTATCTAATTAAATTTATTTTGTTAATGTTCTTGATGATCTGCCATGTTTACTATATTTTAATTTTTCTAAATGATCAAATCCTTGGTTTTAACCACTCTAATATGATCAAGGAACTAACTTTGGTCCTAAAAAGAATGATAACTTACATTAGGTATCCATAAGTAATTTAGAACTTTATTATTTTGCCTTAAGCGTGACACTTAGGTTGTATATACATATATTATATTTTTTCTTATTGGTCAATTTTTTTAAAAAAATATTATTTTCTAAAAATTTTGGTCACATGGTTAAAAAAAGAGATAAGATAGAACATTTATATTTCTTTATTTGAACCAAACATGTACTTTATCATAGAGTGAAATCCATAAAACTAGAGAGAATATTAACTTCTCATATATGTAGAAATGTTTCTTTGCAGGAAACATTGATATTATTACATCCATTACTTAAATTCTCTTTATTAAATTATTTGTTTGTTAAATAATATTATAAAAATATATAAATTTAAGTTTTAAAAAAACATGATCATGGTTATTATGCTCCTAATAATCTATAATATTGAGCAAGTATAGGGACAATCAATAGAAAAATTATAATTATTGAGTACATAGAAAGACAACTAATTAAAATATGTGATTTTTGAAAACTTAAAAAGAAATTTTTTCGGTTTATATTAGGCAATACATTCGTGAAAATAAAAGAGACAAATTTAAAATAAAAGGAATAATAAACCTTTAAGAATCAAACATTTGAATATCCAACAAAAAAAATTATGAAAGTATCACTTCTATTGGCTTTGGTTTGTTCTTTTCTAATAGACCACTTGGTAGCATATGTAATAAAAAAAAATCCACACCAAGTAAGATGGCACAAAAAGAATTTTGAAGTTTATATTTTTATGAAATAAATTATCTAAAAAAACAAATTAAATAGTAGGAGAATATAAATGAATAAGTTTTAATATCTAGATTCTAAAGTCAAAATTTCAACATCGTTAATCTTGATAGAACATAGTTATGGATAACAAACAAACATTTCAACAAGATAACCTTCATCATTTCTTACCTCTTTTCCTGTTTCATATTTTGGTGATGAAGTAAATAAAATTCTTCCATCCTAAATCATAAGAGAGAATAAATTTTAGAGTTCAATATGCTTTACAATATTTGACTTTTGAAAATTGCATGAAATACAAAATATGTATTGTATAAACAACAAATTAAGCATAAGAAGTTTTTTAATAACTAATCTATAACAAAAAATAAATAGTATAGAAAATGATGACAAACATTGATCATCACCTATTCATATAGAGTTGCATTCACAACATCGAAATGCATGAGTAATGCCATAAATGAGATAGCCTCCTTTTTCATTGGGATGTTTGCCTTTTGGACATTAGGAAAGTCACCTCTACCGTTAGTTGGAATCGTATACTCTACCTGTAAGGAATTGAATCTTTGTCATTCACTCACTCAAATGGAGATTGAAAAATCTATTTTTCTTTGTAAAGCACTATATTGAATAACATAAAGTACAATACTATATAACTTGTCTACCTGACAATCATTAATTATTTTTGATCAATTTGATTTCACTTTATCAGTTGAATCAAGTATATAAACCTTAACTTGTACTTGGAACTTGTTCCAATATATCCAACTTATTTTGTATCTTAAGGAAATCTTTCTCCTTAGACCTTGAAAATCCTCACTTAATTTGCATTATACATTGTCTTGACAACAAAAATTCCTCCTTTTTAATTTGTAGTCAATGGTTGGTTATGTATATCCCTTGTGACATTAAAAAAATAATTCAAAAGATTCATAAGGTCACATCTACATTGAGCGCAACCTTTCTTATCTTGTGCATCACGTATATTAATGGCCATGATGTTGAACAACCATTTCTCTTCATTTCCATTTGAAACTTTTGCAAGGTTACATGATTCTATTGCAAAAGGATTAGGAATGTTTGAGTTTGTTCCCCTTGATTCAACTCCAAATCCCCAATAATGCAGAAGAATAAATCATTGCATATGCCTTCATTTCTCTGGTAAATTAAATCCTCACTACGAATAACCTTAGGATTGTGTGACATGGTAATATTTTTAATATACTTTATCACAAACCAACGATGAAGGTAAATTTCATACGAAAGTATAGAAAATCCTTCACGATTAACTAATTTAGCATCGACACTCTTAATTTCAATATGACTTTTTGGAAACTCTATATTCATAATTATTTTTGTTGTAACTGATCCGATCCCATTTCAAAACTTTCAAATAGAAAAGTAGTTGTCTTGATATGATTTATATAGGCTTTTGATATAGTGAATACAATGTGCTTGGTGGCAATAATAGTATTGATAACGAAAGCATCACTAGATATAAACTTCATGTTAACTTGTACATGAACAAGTAATGTTACATAATTAGCTACAAATTAATCTTATGATGATATTCTTTTAGGTAAGCTTATGTAGATGGTTCAAACAAATGATTGAAAAAAATGATCAGATCAAGTATATTTTGAAAAAAATAAAGTATAACTATTGCATATCACATGAAAAGAAGACACATGATTGACCATAGTGGAGGTTAAGTATTTGATGAAAGTTTAAGAAATTATTTTTAAAAAAAATTGAAGTACAAATGGAGGTCATGTTTGTTGCTTTTATAATTGAAGGATTCATAGTGATACAACTTAGTTAACTAAATGTGAATACAACACTTGCAAAATAATTGTTGTTAATTAGTTGTTGTAGCATGTGTTAGAAATTTATAAGTAAGTGATTCGAATCAAATTTGTTAAAGTTTATGCAAGACATTACATAACTATCTAGAGTTATTTATATGTATTGCAAGTTGGAGTTAAACAAGTCTTTTATGTAAAAAAAAATCTTAATTTATAACAATTTCTTTTTATGGTAAAAATTTGTTATTTTTTTTATGCTTCTATTAATGATTTTATCCAAAAACAAGGGAATGTCTACCTTATACAATACAATAAAATTTTCTTTAAAACATGTAATTAAATATCTCAAAATATTATGTAGTGTCTCACTTTTCAATTTCAAATAAAATTATTTTTTTTCATTATATGATTTCTTAAACCAATATCTAAAGCTCAATTTTCATTTTAAAGAACAAAAATGAAAAATACTTTTTGACAACATGTGATGAAGGGTGAAGGAGAAGAGGTGTGTTGCCACTGATTTTTTTTTTCTTCATTCTACATCAATTAATATATCATCGATGTAGAAACTGATATATTTTACATCAACAAAATCTACATGGATTGAATAATCAATGTAGAATGCCCTTTTTAACCGAGGTAAACCTCTTTTTTACATTAGTATTTTATGTTATAATTTTTTTATATTAGATACTAAACCCTAAGACACTCTTGTAACAATTCAAAAGGCATTTTTTTTGCTAAACTTCTTGCGTAGAACATCACAAAAAATGGTGTTGTGAAAAGAAAATGCCAACATAATTTTAG